GATTTCATGTTTGTTCAATTTTTGTTTGCTTGTCTTTGTTGCTAGAAAGAAACCCTAGCCGAGCCATGAAAGTTGTTTATTCTGTCAGTTGTTTATTCTGTTTTATTCTCAGGGGTAAATTGGTCATTTATGTTATTCAGACTATGATTCAGATAGAAAAGTAAACATCAACATAAATTTATCCAGACAGACAAATTTATCCATACAGGAATTAATAGAAAATTTGGTAATCAGCCCCTAAGTTGTTCTAACAAACACCCCCTAACTTTGGTTCTGGGTCTCAGCCCACCGCCCGACCGAAGAACTTCTCTAGCAAGACGACCGAAGAAGGAAAAAGACACAGAAAAATATCTCATTTCTCCATCTGATTGTTGGCGCTAATTGTTTGTATGAATTTCCAAGCCTCCTCTTCAAATGGGCGGATTTAGTTGGCTAAGAAATCGGCCAAAATCTATTTTGCAAAATTTCTTGGTAAAGTGTTAAATCAAGAAGTCAAAAGTTATGTTTCCCAATAACGAAATTTCATTTATTGAGGTTTTTCTTGATTAATTTCAGTGTTTTTCTGTTTCAGTATTGCCAGCAGCATTTGCTTTCAGTGGAATCAGTATGCGGTCATGTAGCTTTGAAGGCTCCGATTATTCATAGTCGAGGTACGATTCACGTATGCGTGCTCTGCACGCTGTGGTTATGTTTATCTTGAAGTCGGAAAAGTTCATTTTGTTAATTTATTATGAAGTGGCTGCGGTTTTGGAACGTTTCTATTATTTATTTTGGAGCTTGCAAATGTAATGTGATGATCATGGATATAATTGGAAACCCTAATTTTGATTGTGAAAAGAGTCAAGAAGGTGGGTTGAGGATGACAAATGAACTCATGGTTGGTTGTTAAACACAAACAAGGTTGTGAGTTTGAGTGCATTCACACTCCCTTAGTGCCAACCTCTTTGGAGAAGTGGAGAAGGAGACTAAGGACCTGCTTGTTATTTTAGAAATAAGTTATGCCTGGATAAAGATGTTCATATGGGTGTAGTTTCTGCCAAAAGAAATGGTAAGGAATAATTGATGTAGTGAAGATAGTGGTGGTTATGGTCGAGGTGAGGTGGCAATGAATGGTGGTGGCCGATGGTGGTCGTGGAGGAGGTTGTTGCAGTAGAGGAGGAGTTGAAGGTGGCGAACGGCAGTAGTGGCGGTGGCAATGGACGGTGGTGGTCGGTGGTCGACTATGGTAGAGGTGGCAATGGACTTGGTGGACGGTGGTTGTGGAGGCGGTGGAGGATGTTGTTGTAGTGGAAGAGGAGGTGGAGGTGGAGGTGGCCACCGGTGACCGCCGGTAGTGGTGGCAGCGGCCGAAACTAGCGGTGATGACCATTAAAACAAATACCATATTAAGGTTATATATCAAACTATTTAGATTAGTATTATTTTAGTTTCTGTGTCATTCTTGTCCCATCTTGTTCCACCTCTTTTGTCCCATGCTGTCCCACCTTGTCCCAGTTCTTGTCCTTGTCCCATGTCGCGCCAAACGTGGGACAGTGAGTTCTTGTTCTGTCCCATGCTGTGCCAAACATGGGACAGTGGGTTTTGTCCCGTCCTGTCCTGTCCCGTCCCATGTACCCAACGCAGCCTGAGTGTGCTATGCCGGATATACACGTGGTTTTAAATATCGTTTGAGGCAGCCCAAAACCGCATCTGAGGCGGCGTCTCTTGGACCTTGGACGAGGCTTATGCCTTGGTTCAATGAGACATGAGGCGTTGTTGAGGCATACGCCTCAGATGATTTGCTTTGGTAATGGCTTTTTTGGCTTTTCTTATAAGCTTTATGACAATAGTTGTACTTCGGTATATAGTGACCTTTTATTAATTTTAAAGAGCTATAGGTCAAAGCCCAATAGCCCCAATATGAACTTTTAATATTTTAAAATCCAAAAAACTAGTACTTTCTCCTCTCAATCAAAACATGTATTTTGACCCTTCCTCTTCCTCCAAGCAACCAATTTTTCCACACTCCCTCATCCTATCTCATGGTTTCACTCTTTCCTCCATCAAGAACCACTAACCAGATCCTCTTAGTAATTTAGTATGATATATATTGTATATATGTTTGTGTAGTATATATACAAATTTTTGGTGTATATATATGTATACTTCCACCTCGGGGCTTACGCCTAGGCCCTATTCTGCATTTTAGAACCTTCATATGCATTCTGTCTGAGTAAGTGGTAAATAAGTAATTTTTGTTTGTTATATGTGCTTAATGGGGATGTGGAAAGATCTATGATATGAGAGGGGTAGGATGAGAAAATAATGGTTTTAATGGGGTAAGCATAACCGTAATGATTTATCTATTTAGTCACTGGCTTATTGATGGAGTCCTAAACAAATACTCATATATAGTTTGCTGAAGGAGTCATCCAACCCATCAATTTATTTAAGTTCTAAACAAACACTACCTAAGACATTGGTTGCGGGATTGATTTCCTATTTCCAACTGCATGAGGGCTACATGGCCGTCAAACCTGCTGGAGGATTCTGTTCAAATTAATGCCATGAGTGTGAGTTGAATTTTCTTTTCAAAATAGAAGGATCCAATTATGCCAGGTTGAGTATGAAAAGTTTTTTGATTAGTGGTAAAACAGGAGGATTGTGACACTTTATACTTGAAAAGCAGTGATGTACATCTTTCTAGTTCACTTGATGGAAAAAGCCTCAGGAGGTGTTTGGTTAGAGGTATTAATTAGTAGTCAATGGGAATGAAAATAATAGAAACTGTTTGGTTTCCTATATTATAATGGGCTCATTCCATTAGAAGCCCAAAATTTCATTCCCGGTTAAACTCTGTCATTTTCATTCCTCGGCCTGAGCCAAACAGACCCTCAGAATCATCGGTGCTTGCTATTGCACTTCTAATATCTGTGGGTAGATGAAATCATTTTGAATATTTGTGTGATTTATTTGTCAGCTTTCTACAATATTGGATATGCTGGAAAGCCTACAGATTTTGCAACTATGAGAACCCTACTATTGAGGCGCTTTATCCATGCTACAGGTTTATCTCACGATATTTTTGCACTCTTTTCCAATACTTGAAAAGTACATTTCTTTGACATGTATAGTCTATTTGTTCTAGAACTACAACTTTCTAAATCTTTCAGGATCTCGTACCGCAAGTGAAGGAGACCACTACCAAGTTCTAGGTGTTCCTCAGAATGCTAGTAGAGATGAGATCAAGAAGGCTTTCCATGGTGTAAGTAGCTCCTGGATTTAGAAGTATGTTTGTTTAAACCCTGGCAGAACAGTTTTTCCATATCTTTTACAAACTGTAAGATATTTTTTTATTTTAACATACATATGGTTCCAACTTCCTAGGAACATCAATCTTTATTCAACGGAAGTATACTGGTAAGAGGCAGAATGCTATTAGGGTGCCTTTGGTACTCAGGATAGGATGGGACATGATAGAGATCCTCAACAATTGCTAGAGATCATTGGTCTTGTTTGCCATTTAGGATTGAACTGCTGCAGATAACTTTCATGATAGACTGACTACATAGAATGATGTGCTTGATGAGGGTGAATGTTCTAGATCTGAGTTCTGAAAGTAATCAATATCAAAAGACTAAACAGGTGAACTGCAGGTCAATTTGATATGTAGTGAAAAGGTGAAGGTCAAAAAGATTCTAGAAAATTTACCCAAAAATAGATTCCATCTGAGTTGATAGGAAGGAAGTGGTGATTGTAGGAATTTGTAACCAATCATCATAGATGACGCAGTCATGTTATTTTCTTTGTTGAAATCAAGTTACGTTTTATCATCAGTACAACCTAATCCCAAATTTTACGACCTGCATTTAATTTTGGAAAAGAATTGCAAAAGCTCCTAGGAATCCTTCCTTTTTTTGACTTTTCTGCTAGATTTCATCTTATTTGTTGATATTGTAGTTCAACAGGCAGAGCACTGCCAATTTTGTCAATGCAAAACTCCCTTCATCCCTTGCTATGGTGAACCAACTGCATTCTAGAAGCTCAAATAGTTCAATAGTATGTGCCTCCTAGAATTATGAATTACACAGAAACAACCGCTCTGATCCCTGGGGAGAGGTAGGTCTGTGTACATCTCACCCTGACTCCACCCCCAGGTGGGATGTTGGGCTCATTTGGTTCTTTTGGTTTATGTTATGACCAAAACATTCGTTTGATGTTCTTGCAAAATTGCAAAGCTATGCACAAAGACATTTGTACTCAACCCTCCCAAACGGAGTAGTCTGGTTAAAATCCATATGAATCTCTGTGCCAGGAGATGGAAAACAATCTCAAAATTCAAAAAATTACTTGTGGGTGAGAAGAGACTATTAGAAGCTTAAAGCCATAAATTAGACTAGATGTGATCTATTAGTTTCATATACAACGAACTTTGATGATCCCACCAGAAATCATTGTTTAAAATTGACAAATGATAGGATCAAGCAGCTGGTAGGCTTACATATCTAAACTGAATTTGGCTTTTAGGTTTTTGCAAAGCAAAACCATTTGAAATTGCTAGTCTGGTATGCAATTTAATTCTTTAAATATTTGTTTTATGGTGTTGGCCTATGAACTTAAAATAATAAAGGAAAAGAGAATGAGAGCTAAACATGTTCTATAAGGGAATTGCGTCAGGCCTGATTCTTATATTTTCACCTTATGCTGTGCAGCTGGCGAAGAAGTATCACCCAGATGCAAATAAAAATAATCCCTCAGCAAAAAGAAAATTCCAAGAGATAAGGGAGGCTTACGAGGTGTAGTTGTAGTTTCTCTGTTCTTTTCTTGCTTAGAAAGATCATGCACAACTAAGTATATGAATAAATTTTTGAACATTTTCTGGTCAATTTCTCTGTTGTGGATGGTCAACTATAGGTTCTGCAAGATTCTGAAAGGAGAGCTGAATATGACAAGGTAAGGCTTTTTTGGGTCTAATTATGATTGCATCTGCTTCTAGTTACAAACAAACTCAACCCTAAAATTTTCTGAAGCAATTTTCAACTTAAACATAAAACATTAAATAACTAGAGGTACAAAGTTGTCTCTAATTACAGATGAAGCAGCAATCCAGGCGAAAGGAAAACATGGATTATTCTTCCGGAGGTGCCGGTGGATTCAGACATGCTAATAGAAGTGCTGAATTTTCTGATTCTTTCCAAAAAATATTTTCTGAGGTACTTGTTTTTATATCGTCCATGTATAACATTTTTTGTCGTGTTCAAATTTCTGACCTTTTGTTATCATACTATAAATTTTGAATATCTTGCAGATTTTCGATGAAGATGCAGATAATTTTACAAGTGATATTCAGGTTAATCACACTCCAATTGCTATTTGTACATGCAATTATTTTATTAAGGTAACGTGTCCAACATTTTTGCTGTTTTGAATATTTTAGGTTGAGCTGTCAATTTCCTTTATGGAGGCTGCTCAAGGCTGCACAAAACACCTATCATTTGATGCAAACATCCTTTGTGATTCGTGCAGTGAGTAGTTTACGCAATTTGATTTTTTCATGCAAACATCATTTCTTCTGGAAGCATGTTTATGCTTTTATTTATATGATATGTCCCTAGGAAGCGAAAACCTGTAGATTTAATGTTCGTCAATGGTCATATAGTAGATATCTGAAGTCATCAATTGGGAGTTAATCATTTACCTTATGAAACTTAGTATACAAGATTTATCATGTAATTATCTCCACTGATTTTATGCAAGGCAAAATTCTAATATGGCAGTCAACTCTTTTTTAGGTTGATTAGTCCAAAGCTGATTAAGGCTCAAGGCACACTTAGGCGAAAAGGGGTCCCGGGGCCTAGGCGTGTGTAGCGGGCCATGCGAGATGCATCTTATCAAAATACACACACGCAGTTACATGCAACTCAAATAGCATTATATAAAACGTAGTTCAATTTTCATTTTCAAATAGCATTAATATCAAACATGGCTCTTTCCTGACTAGTAGTCACTTCCCAATCCTCTTCATCATCAAGTGTGTATTCTTCAATGTCTTCATCGGATTTATACTCTCCATTGAGGTGGATTTTGGTTGTATTTCTAAGGGGTTTGGTGCATTAATCATGGGAGATGATAAGTCTTTTTTGTAGAAGTCTAGGAGATGAGAAGACTTGCTAAAAAAACAACACAGAGTTTCAGTCTGATTAATGAGGCGCCGCAGCCAGACGTAACACCCTAGCTTGCGTTGTGAATGCCTTGTCTTGATCACAAAAAAGCCCAACCTCTTGCACCTCAGCTCTTTTAGCACTATGGTTTGTCATGCTTTATAAAAGTCAAACCAAACCAAACCAAAGCAAACCAAACAAGCCCAGTGTATCCCACCCTGAGGTGGGGTCTAAGGGAGGTGAGATGTAAGAAGACCTAACGTCTACTTTCAAGAGTAGAATGGCTGTTTCTGTTCAAGACCTTTGACTTATGAGAAATGTGCAAATCAAGTAGAGAGTTTTTCCAAAGAAATAGAGGAAACGACAAAAGGTGAGGGTCTGGAAAAGAACCTGAAACAAGAAACAGTATAACATGAAAAGCAAGCTAGAAGTAAAAACATAGCCAAGTTAAGAAACCACATCTCCACCCTAACATAGGACTCTACCTCAACCCTCTATCTCTTTGGCTCCCATCTGTGCCGGCTACAACCCCAATCCTACTCTGCTACCATAATCTTTTCTCTCCACAGACTCATATCAGAGATAATGTCCTCGGAAATGCCTAAGCTCACCATGTCTAACCTCAGCTGCTCATCCCATGTCCTCCTCCACCTATTGCACCCTATACAGTCACACCTTCTATCATCCTCGCCCATAGTCACGATTTATGATGGATCTTTTTCTATCCTGTCAGAACTAGCTTGGAATATGCGTTGCTGTTTGATACATAAGAAATAGTAATTAAAAGTTTTGTTGTTTAATATGTGAGAAATAATATGCTTTGTCACCTTTTAGTGATCAGTGAGAGATTGAGAGTACTAAGCGTTGTATATAGCCAAGGAATTGTGTGTTGCGAGTCCTTATAAGGTATTACAGCGGTGTAAATTTTCATTGCCGTGATAATTTTTTTTGTTCTTACTGTCTTGCACTTGAATTCTGAAAATACTGCCAAGGGCTATAGTCCCTCCATCTCATGAGCACTGCAACATTTGACCCTACACACAAATGTCCAATACCTTTCCCCTTGTCCCCTAGATTTGAAAGAAAAGTAAATATTGTGATCGCCACTTTTTGTGTAATTTCTGCCAGCGGCCTAAAAATATCTGAGAAAAGGAAAAATTGTAGCCCTTGTGAGGCATCTTTAACAGATGCAGTTTGGTTCTATCTGAAGACCCGATGCTGACCTATAAGAAAAAACATGGATCAGGAACAGAGTATCATAACTATCGGCTTGAAGCTAACTTTTCACTCCATCTGAACCTTATACCTGGTACCCAACTAGTATTGTTATTTGTATCTGAACTGCCACAATTTACTCTGTCACAACCTCCTACACAATTATGGCAAGATGACCTTTTCCTTCCCCCAAATCCACAAATTCCCCTTTCTATTTTATTGCTATTGTTATTATTACAATCCATATCATAAAGAGGCTGAATACACATTTTCAAGATCAGGTGTCCTTATTGCTTAGTAACATTAGTATTGCAATATATGGATTATGAATCAGGTTGAATTGTCTATTAGCTTCAATAGACCAAACCAAACCAAACCAAACCAAACCAAACCAAACCAAACCAAAATAGCCCTCTATATCCCACGTGGAGGCAGGGTCCCGCCCCCGCTGGGGGGGGATGTATGTGGGCCTGACCTCTACTCCAATTAGTTGAGCCGCTGTTTCTGTGAATGCCTCCAGGTTTTCATGAACATTGTAAACAAAAATTAAAAACCTTAGTGATGTTTGAACCAAAGAACAAAAGAACTTATAGTATGTTTCAGATCAGTAAACTCTACACACACGTTCACTTAGGATAACTTAGTGCAACATATTTATATCTGATATGATGGCGATTCACCAATGAATTGGCGATTCAGATAAGATTCCTATTCGTTAATGGGATTTCTAGTCTTTTATTCATGAATTTGTAGGGAGCCGTCTGGTTAAATTGTGAACCATGGAAGCTTGGCATGCTTTATCTTCTTTCTTGCTCCCGTAGTATTCTAAAACACCCCTATGTACGTGTGCGTGTTTGTGTATGTATACGATTTTTGTGTACCCTAAATTATATATATATATATATATATATATGACTTAGAATATGTGTGTATCATAATCWGMATRTATTACAATAATATTACTGTACTGCTCTAATTGTAKTAGTTTATAAATACCATGACCATATTATTTTCTAACAATAGCAATTGGTATTGTATTACACGAGCAATTACAAATGTATTTTTTATAACTTGGTTGATACCTTATTATACATGTTGAATGTCAACTTGTTTTAATTGTATATAGAATCAAATGTTTTTTGTTTGATGGTTAAATCAGGATATAGTTGTGTTTGGCTGTATGTTATATCTTTTGGAATAACTGTTCAATGTATTTTAATGTGAATAAAATTAACGCAGAACTTGCAATTTTGATGTGATGCAGATGGGCATGGTTACCCTGTTAACGCTAAGGCAAAAAGTTGTCCAACTTGTAAGGGCGTGGGGACAGTAAGTTCTTTTTAAGTTTCATATTATTAATGGCCATTGGAACCTTCGGAGAAGGCTTTGCTTTAGCTGGAATGATTTAACAAGAAAATTTGAAAACTATTGCGTTACCAAATCTAAGTTTATTTTGGGTTCTTACCTGATTCCTTTTAGGTTTTTATTCCTCCATTCATGGCTAGGTGCAGCACTTGTAAAGGGTCAGGCCATATAATTAAGGTTTGACTTCTAAGTTTGATGGAAGTTTTAGCCAAAAATTTCAATTAACAAAAAGTAGGTCAATGGTTTTTAATCATTTGGTGCAGGAATACTGTAGGTCATGTGGAGGATCAGGGGTTGCTGAGGTAGTCAAGGAGGTTAAAGTTCCCATACCAGCAGGTTGTTGAATGTACTGTTGATTGACTTGAATGATTGTGAGATGATTTCTAAATGAAGAACCTTCAAATTTCTCAAAAACAATTCGGTTGCAAATTACACAGCAATTTCTGATAAGCAGTACTTCCTCCGTTCCAGAACAAGTGTCCACATTTCTATTCCCAAAATAAATGTCCACTTTCAGAAGCAAATGTCTACTCTCCAATTCTATCCTTAATTCTACTCTTAATTATGAGATGAGAAATTCTTACTCCCTTATCATTGATGGTAAAATTGTCATTTTGTTCATTAAAAAGTATAATGATTACAAATTACTAGAACTGTGTCCCCTTCTCATTGTGGACATTTATTCAGGATGGGGGGAGTATTTTCTCTTGATTTATTTGTGTGTTGGGAGGGGCAATGTATAATCTGCTATCTGGTTGTAATACGAATACGTACTGTTTAATTGCATCCAACATGTGGTGTTTTTGTAAATCTGCTCGTGTGGGTCCGATTTCACCGATTTGTGAAGTTTACAACCGAGAGTATGATAATGTTACATAATGTATGCTGATGACGACAGTTGTCTGCTCTATACCTATCTGTTCTTCATAAATGTTACATAAGTGTATTTTGGATGAAACTTTTTTCAAGGCTATTGTGCTTTGAATCATCTAGTTGAATATGTTGTAATAAGAAGATTGATTGATTTAGTTACTCAGAATGTTGACTATTTATCTTTTGCTTTTTGTTCAATATGAATTAGGCGTAGACTCTGGTGATACCATATCTATTCCAAGAGCTGGCAATGTTGGAAGACGGAGTCAACCTGGTACCTTAATTATAAAACTGAAGGTTAATATTAGTTATTTCAGCTATACTCTTACTTTTTCTTTATCTTTGATGTTCATGGCCTTGGTAAAGTGATCATGACCTATGCCTTTTGAATTATTTACTGATTTTGTTATTTATTATGCTTTTTAGTGTTCATCCTTCATTTTAGTGTTCTGGAATGTAGGTTGCTGAAGACGCTGTTTTTCAGAGAGATGGTGCAGATCTATATGTGGACTCAAATATCAGTTTCACTCAGGTGAGAACTGAACACTATATGCACATGCAAACGTATTTGATGATTGAACATTATGATACAACCTCCATCCCAAAATAAGTGTGCACTTTCAAAAGCAATTGCCTGCTTTTCCAATTTTATCCTTAATTATGTGATGAGAAATCCTCTACTCCCTTATTATTAAGGGTAAAATTGTCATTTAGTTAATTAAAAAGTCAAACTGTCTTTTTTCTTGTGGATATTTATTTTGGGACAGATGGAGTAAAACTTTGCTTGCTTGAGTGGGTTGCATCGTTATGAATTTTCAAACAAGCTCCTTACACTTGTTCATTACTTGAAGATAAAAGCTTTTAATTAGGTTAGTAACATATTAAGGTTACAAAATTGAGACAATATTTAAAATTGCTTTTTTTAATTAATCAAAACCATGAGCTATGTTTATACCTTAACTATCTACTAGTCCAAGAAAACAATTGTTGCTCTATATTGTACCGTGAAGGTTAGATGAAGCCATTTATTCTCAATATGACAAGAGAATTAACATATTGCATACATAAGAGCATTTGATTTAAAGAAAAAAAGTAGGGAAAACGTAATGAGTAAAAAAAGCACCATTTGTGGAGATGAGATCCAAAAAATGAAGATGGCAAATGGAGGAAAATGGGTTAAATAAGAGGACCCTAGGGCACCAATAGCATTACTCTGCCTTGGCTTTCAGTGCTGTGACAATTCATAATTGTTAGCCCAGTTAAGAAAATAATTCAGGAAAATTAAAAGAATAATATGCCAAACTAAAATGAGCTTCTATTTGTAGCCTAATTACTTTGAGAGTTTGAAAACAATCCAGCTGTGTTATTTGCCTAAATTCAGTTCATGTAACTTGCAATTATTGCACTGATCCGGTAGAAAATCTTAAAAGTTGATACTGGAAATCAAATTTGTGTCCTTCTGGATAGATCAATCTGGACTTCTGAAAATATTGCAAATCACAATCGAATTTTCTCCCCAATTGAGTTGTTAATCAATCAGATTTCCCATTTATAGGCAATTTCCCAATCCTTTCTTATTAGCTTGTAAACGGTGAAGTTTGTTATTTAGAAACGTAACTGTATCATAAGGTCATAACGATATAGTATCAGTTTTTTAATTTTTATTTAATAATGTCATATAGATAAAATTAGGTTTCATGTATTATTATGAGTAGTTGAGTACCAAATACTAGCATGAAGTGTTTCCATGACTTGCAGAACTTATGAGCATAGTTTTTCCAACCTTTCTCGCTGATTGAATTTTCAATTTGACAGGCGATTATTGGTGGTAAGATTGAGGTACCGACTTTGAATGGAAAGACGCAAGTAAAAGTGAGTTCATCTCCCCGTATTTATCGTATAGTTGCCATGTGCTAATTGATTTTCTTATTCTGCTATATTATCTTTCCAAAAGAAATTCTATAATATATGAACTGGGACTGGGAGGCTTATGTTTATATGCTTAATATAACTTTTTAGGCTCTCTTAACAATTATGTACATCCTGATTGAAAAACTGCATGACCTATAGAGCATAACTCGCTGATATGTTTGGAACATACACTATGCTTTTAGGGGGCATTTGGTTTGTTTCAGGAGATGAAAATGGGAATGGGAATCGGAATGTTGGGGAATGGAAATGGGAATGAGTTTCATTCCCCCCAGTTAGTTGATGAATGCTTCATCACCAGTGTCTAGTAATGTCATATTCCATTGCATCAAACCATACACCGCTAACGATTTCCATTTCCATTTCCATTCCCATTCCTCACCCCCACCCCTATTACCCCCAACCAAGCACCCCCTTAATAGGGATTTATGGTAGGCCTGTAAATAGTAAATGAAAGTTCCCATCACCACATATTTTGCTTCGTTGTGCTCAATATATTCATATCCAAACCACAATTCGTCCAATATTAGTTAAATATGAGTGCGGAAATTGTTATATTCGATCATTTATATTCATGACTGTTTTATCGTAATGGAGTACAGCTATGTTGTTTTTCTTGGATTTATTTGCTTAAATTAATTCGAGATTTCAATATTTTTGGGTTCTGAAATTCTAATCGGATATCGGTTACTTGCACTTACTGGCATCACTTGAGCAATGTTTTAGATTTTATCCTAGCTTGGATATGATAAACGGGTTTGCATATTTCCGCAGATACCCAAAGGGGTTCAGCCTGGACAGCTAACAATATTAAGAGGCAAAGGTACAAATTTTGTGTCTTGTTTTTCACTGTTAATAGATTCTTTTCCCTCCACACATACACATAAGCGCACAAATATACATATACATATCTCTATACATCTACATCTACATCTACATATGCATATGCCTATACATATACATATATACATATACATATACATATATATATACTTGCTATGTTAATTATGACAGGCTTGCCAAGGAAAGGATTTTTTGTTGACCATGGAGATCAGTATGTACGTTTCCGCATTCGTTTCCCTACGTAAGCGTTCTATTTGTTTAAATCTTTACATTGATACACATCATCTGAATGTAGTCATGCAATCTTATGCTAGTATGTTTAAGCACCAGTTTTAGATGATTTGTTCTGAATTTACCCCTGAAACTTACTGAGTTACTGGTAATTTTAAAAAAAATTCTTTAAAAGAGTGGAACTTAACTTGTATGTCTAGAAGAGTTCTTTTCAAAACAATACTTACGACATGACTAGTTCTATGATGTGAAAACTGAAGTAAGCATATTTTTCAGTTCCATCAAACAGACAAGAATTTTTTGGACATCTAGGACTTCCTTATTGTAATCTGTTTAGAGCTAAAAATGTAGAATCCAAGGCTCTTGGCATTGCTGCTGGTGAATCCTGAGAGGGTCATTTGGACAATAGTCATAAATGAGTTCTCAATTAGGACTATTTATGCCATTGACCTTAAATGAGATTTTATTTCACAAAACATTTGTCAAGTTTAATGGCATTCTCGTATATGGAAGTGGCATTCTTGGCAAGTTTAATGGCATTTTGGCATGTTTATTTCACAACATAACATAGGGTAACATTCTCAGACCTATGAGAAGGACATGGATTTAAAAGAAATTTTTGAGAAGGTGACTCAACGGAATATTTAGTCATAAAAATGCCTAAACTTGTCAATAGGTTATGTTATGAAATAAAATCTCATTTAAGGTCAGTGGCCTAAATAGTCCTAATGGGGATATATATAGTCATATGACCTTCCATGATTTGTTTTTTAAATCCATGACCTCCGGACCTACCAAGGAAAAATGGCTCCATACTCATAAGGTCATGGATTTAATTAAAATCTCATTTATGGTTATATATTTAAATAACTCGTGATTCTACCAACTGACCCTTTTCAATTAAGAGCATGAACTTTTAATATATTTTTTCACTCAATAACCTTCAAATGACATGCCTCTGGAATTAAACACCATGCTTCTGGTGTAAAACAGTCTTCTCCTGTAAAATCTTGAAATACACTAAGGCTAGTTTGTAAAAATGACTTCCATAGGAGTCATTTAGTTGAACACCCTAATCCATAGAATAATTTGTGCTAATTTGTTTTTCTGGGCTTATACTACAGAGTGGTGAATGACCGTCAACGTGCTATATTAGAAGAATTTGCCAAGGAGGAAATTGAACAGGCTCACAAGATGTCAGCTGATGGAAACTGGTGAGTGTCTATTGAAATTTGCTATTTGCATGCAGCTCTGATTTTATTTCTTTCTACTTTTTTTTGTGTCTATTTGAGTGCTTGTGCTTACAACATCAGGCTGCTGTAGTGAAAATGGGGGTTACTCCACAAAATAAAATTAACTATTTTTTTGGGATGTCGGAGCAAAATGTGACTTTTTTTGTGATTTAAGTTTTAGTTTAGCATTACTTAAAACCCCTTTTGGTGGCATTGATTATTTGATTTTTGCCTGCAAAATTTGATTAGTTTGTCATTCCTAAAGGTTATTTAAGATATTTGACTTATGTAGTTGAACACTCAATGATGTGTTAAGATTTATTTTTTTGATGAAGTTTTCATTTCCCCCCTATCCCATGAAGATTGCAACACTCCACTTTCTAGGGATATCATATGAAAATTGCCACATTATTTTTTTGAGATATCTTAATGTTAAATATTTCATTTGTATTTCATTTGTATTGCAAGTCATTTTAGATATTTGATTGATAGTCAAGCATCCACTCAAAACTATATGCAAAGTGAGATGTTGCATTTATCTTGGAACGACGACACTTTCTGTTTTAGCTTTGTTCCTCTCAAGAAAATTGCAACATTTCCATTTGGGAAGGTTTTCATATCAAATTTACATATTTGCCCATCATCATCATTGCAAGTCCTCTTTTCCTTTTCTTTGGAACATATATATTAGATATATCTGACAGGTGGTCAAACATTTTTTTCAAAACTATTGAGCCTGTTTCTACCTGATTCTCGGTCTCACCTCCATTTATCCTGACATCATAAAGTTAAATGTATAAAAATGAAAATGGAGAAAGCAAATGGATTGCCGTTAACCTCATTTATGAAACATAAGCTGTTTTACTTTGCTTTACCTTTGTTTTTGTATACAAGTGTCTCCTTACCCTACTTCCGTGTGGGATATACTGGGTTCGTTTAGTTTTGTTTATCTGTTTTAGGCATAGTCGTGAATGTGATGAACATTCTGAAATGGTTAAACAGGCTTTATCAGCAGCTATCTTCTACTGGTTGAACTTACAGGTGGCTTCAAATAACTGAATACGTTACAACCCCAAAATTCATGCTTGAATTCTCTGCCTTAATGCTGCTGCTTCTCTTCCTAAACAAAGTCTTGAGCTAGACCCTTCTCGTCATCCAAAATGGAGGTCAAAAGGTCAATTCGGAGTGTTCGTGACACATATTGCTGCCATGCCAGCATTCACAAGATGTACAGATACCATATCAATCATTTTCTTCAGAAATTTTGTCGACATCCCTCGAAGAAAGCATAGATTTGCATTGTTATTTCATACATGAAGTCATCTTTCAACTGTGAGTTGCTGCTTCGATTATTTCACATTTTTGGATGGTCAATAAGATGATCGAAATCTGAAGTAACAATTGTATTGAGCCTTTTGTACTTTGTGCATTAGAAGTTGTACGTTAATAATAGGCATAAACTTGGCTGTTTACATGATACCTTCAGGATGGATGGATGGATGTATACTCGATTCAGATTTGAATTCTGAATTTGGAGAACAAATTGGAACCCAAAAGTTCACTCATTTTTGCTATTGAATACAAAACCTCGTTTTATGTTGCATTTTGCTTATGATTGGTTGTCTTGTCCAATTATGCCTTGTTCTGTCAGGTTCTATGGTGTTTGGGATTGCTTATAAAAACAATTTATTGACTTATTCCGGTGTGACACCGGTAATAAACATTTTTTAGTGTTTGGATAAACAACTTATACCGATGCCAAACCGGTAGTAAGGAGTTTTTGAAGAAGTTAAAACACTTCTGACTTATAATAAGTTGATAAATGCTTTTGTAGAAAAACATAAAGTTGTTTCAAATAAGCAATCCCAAACACCCGTAATCCTTACCTAGAGATGATCAAATATGCAGTAACAATGATATAATAACTTGTATCTTGAGTAGTGAAAGTTGTTAACATGTAAAAGTCATTAGGTAAAAAGTAATAAAATATTTGAGATGTTACATCTTAAATATCAAAATTATAAATGGTAAAAAGAAATTGGAAGGAGAAAGTTCATAAGTTAAAATATACCTATTTTACAACATAATTTCAAAATTATAAATGGTAAAACTACGTCATACAAATTATAAATTAAAACAATGTACATTGTATATTCATACAATTTACTCTTTTCATTTTGATAGACTTTGTCATTTACTTATCGACTGTAGTTTTACAATTCAGTTAAACCAAGTGATAAAAAGTTGTAGTGTTAAAATCACCTAGGATGTTGGACAACTCTTAGGTGATAGTTTGTTTTTTCAGTTTTACCTCTTAATGACCATTAATCATTTATTCGTTCTGACGTTTTTAAATTCAGACAATTTGTTTTCTCAGATCCTCTTAACTCTTAAAATTATCTTGAAAAAGAAAGTGGTTGCCTCCCCCCTTAATTCCTCTTATTCGCATACACCCACATCCAAGTTCATACGCTTCTAGTTTTCTCAAGACATCTCCATCCAATCAGTCGATCTCTAAATCAATGTTGACCCAAATCAAGATGAAAACCAGTCGATCTCCGGGTATATCGATCTCCCCTCCGGTTTCTGTTTTGATTTCTTGGATCTCCCCTCTAGTTTTTGTGTTGATTTCGTGCATGTGGTTTGACCATTCTCCCACTACTAGAAAACTGGTTATTTCCGGCGGAAAAATCCACCGGAAAATTACCGATGGAAAACTAAAAAGTCGACTTCCATTGACTTCCGTCGGAAATCCGCCAGTAAATATATTCCGACACTGTTTCCGGCAGATTGAAACATTAAATTTTTACGAAATTATTAACTCTAATTACAATAAGTTACCGGCGGATTTTTGATTAATTTTTTATACTTAACATCCGCCGGTAATCCGCAAGAAAATATATAATTAAAAATTAAAATTTGTTATTTTAAATTTCCGGAGGATGCCGTGGCCGCCGGTAATTTAAAATAATAAACTATTTAGGATTTTTAAATTTTTTTATTGATTTCCGGCGGATTTTTGAATTTTTATTTTTTCTTTTTTCATACTTTTGGTTTATATATATATACATATATATGCAAAATATTGCAAGTATTTCACATTAAATGTATAGTGGATATAATTCTCTTATTGAGTCCAACACACACATACTGTTGAAACCAAGTGATAACACACACAACTCACTTTAAATGTGATGATTTATTCAACTAATCAAGCTGCCATTTATAGGCATACAAACGAAACAGACTCAACAAACTAACAGCTAAAAAACAGGAAACAAATCAGGACTAATCCACATACTTATTCAAACCTTAAACAGACTCAAGGACTTGGTCATATGACCATTGTAACCAAGCTTCAATATCCTCCCCTAAACTGAACTAGAGCTAGTTCAGTTTATTTTCTTCAAACCCAGTGATGCTCGCAACTTGCTAAAATCTTCTAGTTTGATCGCTTCGTCATTATGTCAGCTAACTGATTCTTAGTGTTGCAGAATACCAACTTCAATTCCTCTTGATTAACCAAATCTCTTAAGTAATGGAACCTTACATCAATRTGTTTTGTTCTCYTGTRMATAAYCGGATTCTCTGATAGCTTTATAGTTGATGTGTTATCGCACATAACTTCAGTTGCACCTTCTTGTTTCTCACCCAACTCTTCAAGTAAACCTTTGAGCCATTTGCAATGGCATACACAGTTGGTTGCTGCTACATACTCTGCCTCAGTAGATGAGAGTGTGACAATTTCTTGTTTCCTTGAACTCCAACTTATAGCAGCCCCACTGTACAAACATATGTAGCCAGACGTACGCTTTCTATCTTCCACATCCCTTGCATAATCACTATCCGTAAAGACTTTCAGTTTTTCATTTGACTCTCTTCCATAGAATAACCCATAAGTAGCTGTTCCCTTCAAGTATCTTAACACCCTTTTTGCTGCATCCAGATGTTCCAGCCTTGGTTTTGACATGAATCTTGCTACCAAGCACACTACATAGGTTAAGTCTGGCCTTGTGACAGTAACATACATAAGACTTCCTATCAACTTCTTGTATCGTGTTGGGACAATCTCCTCCCCTCCTCTTTCCTTAGTAAGAACAGCACCAGGCACAATTGGATTATCTACTGAATGACTCTCTTGCATTTTAAACCTTTCGATAATTTCCTTAGAATACTTCTTTTGGCAAATATGAATCCTATCCTCATATTGCTTTACCTTAACACCTAGAAAGTATTACATCATGCCAAGATCTGTCATTTCAAATTCCTTTTGCATAGATCTTTTAAAACCTTCACAAATCATAGTATTATTCCACACCCTTTTGCTAAACAAAGTATGATCAAACTGACTTTGTTTGAATCCTTCCTTCTTGAAATACTTCTCTATGCGATTGAACCAGGCTCTAGGGGCCTGTTTCAACCCATATAGAGCTCTCTTCAATTTATACACGTTTACTTCTTCTCCCTGTTTGACAAACCCAAGAGGCTGTTCAACATACACAATCTCCTTGAGCTCACCATTTTAAGAAGACACTTTTAACATCAAGGTGAAACACCCTCCAATTTCTTTGAGCAGAGATAGCTAGAATGGTTCGAATAGTGTCCCACCTAGCCACTGGTGCAAACACTTCTTCAAAGTCCACTCCCTTTTGTTGTGCATAGCCTTTAACCACAAGTCTTGCCTTATACTTATCTATATTCCCTTCTTCATTTATCTTGGTTTTGTATACCCATTTTATGCCAATAGTTACAGCTTCAACAGACATATTTACTAACTCCAATGTTCCATTTCTCTCTATTGCATTCATTTCATCTTCCATAGCTTTCACCCACTTAGCTTCTTTTCTTGATTCTTCAAAGGTAGTAGGATCTCCTTGAGCTGTATACATGGCAAATCCATCTTCTTCTTCTCTATATTCTTCTTCTGATAACTCCTGACCAGTTCTATAATCTTGCATCCAAACCGGTTGTCTTCTATTTCTGGTAGAGGATTCAGCTGCCATACTTGTGACTACAATATTTCTCTGATCTGCAATGCTTGCTTGTGGGTCTTCATCAGGAATGAGAGTACCACTTTCTTGAGCCTGTTCTTGAACTTGTGGTTCCATATCCCCATCTTCTTCATTGTCTGTAACTGCAACTTGATGACCAGGTTCTTCTTCTATTATCAATTCTCCCTCCCTTGTAGTTTCTTTATCCCAATTCCATTTTTGATCCTCTTCAAATATGACATCTCTTCTAATGATGATCTTCTTTTGAATTGGATCATAGAGCCTTTAAGCCTTAGAACCAATGCTTAATGCCAAACAACACACATTTCTGGCTTCTTGCATCTAACTTGGTTCCGACTTGGGAGGGAATATGGACATGACCAATACATCCAGACACACGAAAGTAATCAACATTTGGCTTCTCTCCAGTCCATAATTCTTCAGGAACCTTCTTGTCTAGAGCTCTAGACACACACCTGTTCATAATGTGACAAGCCCAGATAGTTGCTTCTGGCCAGAAGCATTTAGGCACCTGTTTTTCTACTAACAAACATCTCACCATATTCATTAGTGTTCTATTTCATCTCTCAGCCACCCCATTTTGTTGTGGGGTGTAGGCAGCTGTTAATTGCCTCTTGATTCTGTTTACTTCACAAAATTCAGTAAACTGATGTGAAGTAAACTCTCCCCCTCTATCGCTTCTCAACATTTTTATTTTAGAACCCACTTCAGTTTCAACCATTGCTTTAAATTTCTTAAAGTGCTCAAAACTTTCTCCTCTGTTTCCCAGCAAGTAAACCCATGTCTTGCGTGTGAAATTATCAATAAAAACAAAGATCTGTGTGCACAAGCTCTAACCTTTGAGTGGATCTCCAAATTGCCTTCTTTGGAATTGCTATCCTTCTTTGTTTCCCAACATTGCAAGTCTCACATACCAACGTTTTCCCACAAACTTGAGGTATTCCCTTCACCATATTGTGATACTGCATGGTTCTAATCGCCTTGTGATTCACATGACCAAATCTTTTGTGCCAGATGTGAGTAGTGTTGTCATCTGCTACCTGCAAGCAATGACCAATAACATCCTCTTGATGCCCATACACTATGAACATTCTGTTTTTGGCCACTGTTGACTTCATGATCAAACCTCTTCTTGGATGATAAACATGGCATACTCCATCTTCAAACACCACCTGTACTTTTTTTTTTCTTGAAGTTGACCCACACTAATCATGTTTGAAGTTAATTGAGGAACATAGTAAACATTTGTAAAGACTTGCGTGATGCCATCTATTTCAAAACGAACATCTCCCAATCCTTTTACCTCCAATCTCAGCCCATTGCCTAACTTTACAGTGGTTTGATAGTTTCATCCAGCCTAGTAAACCAGTTCTTCACACCTGTCATGTGGTTTGAACATGCAGAATCTAAAAACCAATACCGCTTGTTTACAACGGCATCGTTCTTCATGTGAGCCATAAGAACTAGTTCCTCATTCTCATCAAATTCTGCATAATTCACCCCCTGGTCTTCTCGAGGACATTCAAATTGAAAGTGTCCCATCAAATGATACTTGTAACATTTTATCGTTGATTTGTCAAAG